CTTCTGTACGTCTAAATTTTACGGCAGAACCCTGTGCACACACAAACTTTTTCTGCTACTGTTCTGTGAGCATGTCTGTGATGATGAATCTGCGATGGATTTCGAAACGTCAGGCGAATAAACATATTGTCCCAGCGATCGAGTCATCTTCTACTTCTCAGTTTTTGACATGTTGTAACGTCTGGTCCTTGGTAAAATATGTAGTTCAATGGATCTGCTGTGGTTACATGCGAAAGAAAACGATTGCCTTTTACTACCGATCCCGAAAAACCGGAATTCTGATTTTATGAAATGCTATGGTGAAACTTATAAAATATCCTTACCGGCACCATTAATAAACTGACGGGTAGGCTGTTTTACGAATGAACATTTTCAAAACACCAAGTGACCCTCTCTTAAAGTATAAAATATTAAGAAAAAGAACCGTGCTATCAATTGCGAACAGGAAATAATATTTTTGTGCATATTTTCTATTAATTATATGTAAATTTATGAAGAGATCGAAAACTGTGAAAAAAAGCATTCCATTAAATATTCATTTTTACAGAGTGTACTTGTCGCAGGCGGTCAAACAGAAAATCGTTCAAAAGCTGGTTTTCGGACCCGACTGAAATATCGTGGGATTCAGCTGCACAGAAATATCAAAATTTACTTAACTACTTTGTTCGAATCAAAAATGTAGTTCAGAATTTTGGTTGACACTACATAAGACAGGCAGCTTCCTGAATGTCGTTTCGAAACTCGCTGTACACATCTGGACCACTCTTCCAAAGCTGCGATTGGTCTGCTTAACTTCTTTCTACTTGCAGTTTACCTTCAATTTTTTGCTTCTCTCCTAGTGCTGTTATGTACGTTTTCATTAAACCGGCGACCGCGGAGCCTATCACTTCAGCTCCTGACGCCTGTGCGAGGAGCGAAACTGAGGTCCTTCCAGAAGAGTCTACTGAAAACGACGAGCAGCCAGAAATTGAACTGCATCGACTTCGCCATAATTCGCGATGCTCGTGAGTTTTCAGCGTGCTCGATATATTAAACACAGTTCATTGATGCCACCAGCAAACTCAACCGATCGATAGTGCTTGATGAATAAGTACGTGGAGACCGGAATACCCTTTTCAGACTTTAATCTTTTTCCTCTGGCTGACGCGACAAATGCCACCTCCAAGGGCGTGCAGAACTTAACTACGTAGTTACTCGTTAAAATGACAATTGCTGAGGAAACTGATCGCCCGTAGAAATAAGTTTTTGTACAACACTTCATCCAACCAGGAGGCTAAAGGCTTCCAATCGAGGATATATAACGAGTGTCTCTTAAGAGGTAGGCGAAGGTTGACAGAAGGCTGTGGTAGCAGTTGCTTTAGTCTTGTTCATGACCTTTTAAACGTTTCCTGCCGCCCTCTCCCTCCAAAATATGGCCGCATGCGCCGAAATCATTGATCAGATCGATTGGCCGATAAAAACGGGTATCGTTTCAGTGCCTCTCCCTCAGCCCCCCTTATTTGCCCTAACAAAGGCATATATTGATCTGTTTAGCGTACCAGAGTAATGTCATCTCGTCTTCTGGTGTTAAGGCTGACTACCAAATGCATTCACCTATCTTTCCCCTAAGAAAAAACAACTTGTTCGACAATAAAGACCGTTACCGCGTACAAGTGACCCGGACATTTTTATGCTACACCCGTGAACGCTTGTCCATAAGGCTAGGTTCGGCGTTGTCTAGGGAAAATTCTGATTAAGGATGTACGCTTTGGCCCCACTTAACCTCGATGTAACTGCATTTCTCAAGATATTTTCCCACGCAGTCCATCCATCATTGACAGTAAGATTATTTGTCATCAACCGATATACATTTGGTTCCTTTGGCTATCTATATTCCCGGTAGAGATTTGCATTAAATGACTATTTATGACAGAGTATATTTGTTGATGGTTCGAGAGCCAATTTTCAGACTTAACTGAAGTATCATGGGATTCAGCTGCACACTACTAAATATTATAACTCAACTTAAGTAATTTTTTTCAAATCAAAAACACCTTTCAGCATTTCGGTTACCAATTCTTGAGACAGGGACTCTACTGTCTGTCCTTTCAAGAGTCGGTGCATACATGTAGACTTCTCAGAAATACAGAAGAGTATTTGGCGAGCATATGTAGCTTTCGATAAATTCTCTTCAAGCCTTTACATTTATATAGGGAGGGTGTAAAAAGTAAAATGCTGGTAATTAGGTTATCACAAAACGCAAATTAGTCATGGGGATAAGGGAGGGAGCGTGGGGTTGATAGTGATTGCAAGTTGGTGGGGTTTGTTGAGTTCGGACAGGGGATGTGGGGGGGGGTTGAAGCGGTAGAAAGCGCGAAAAGGTGCAGGAAGAACCTCCTACAAGCCCCGAGCTTGGCATGGCCAACGGTTACGTAACTACCTGCATCTTTTCGCACTTTCTACCGTTTCAACTCCACCCCCATCCCTGTCCGGACTCAACAAACCCTCATCAACTTGCAACCAACTGATTACTATCAACCCCACGCCCCCTCCCCTATTTCTATGACTAATTTGCGTTTTGTGATAACCTAATTACCAGCATGTTACTTTTTACCCCCTTCCTTTATAAATGTAACGGCCCGAAGAGAATTTATCGAAGGCTACGTATGCTCGCCAAATACTCTTCTGAATTCTTTGATGGGAATTTTCATAACTTCTCAGAAATAATTGTGAAGTACGGAAAATAAGCATTCAATTCACTTGCATTGTTATTGCACCTTCCATTGCTGCCATCGGTCCTCAAAAGGTGTGCATATTTTCGGTTTTCCTCCAATCTTTGCTTCTCTCCTAGTGCTGTTATGAACACTTTCTGTCAAACGGCGGCCGCGGAGCGTACCCCACCAGCCCCTAATGTGAGTGCAGATGATGACACTGAGGCCCTTCTTGGACAATCTACCCCAAACAACGAGCAGTTGGAAATCGAACTGCGCCGATTTCACCGAAATTCACGATGCCTGTGAGTTTGGATGCTCGATATAATTATCGTAGTTCATTGATGCCAGCAGCAATCCCAACTGCTCCACAGTGGTTGATCTGATTAACGTTGCCGACAAAAACTAGGTAGACTGGAATTGCCATTTCCGGTTCAGTAGCCATCATCAACCAGTTATACCTACCCCCAAGTGCTGCATCCGCAACCTGTTGGCTAGACGTCCAACACTCTAACTATTGAGTCGGCAATGTCTAACCTACTTGCACTTCTAGCTGCTGTATGGCAGTTGGCGGGGCTCGAGAGTGTGCCCCAAGGCAGAGCGCAACGAGTGCGTTCTGGTTAGCAATCGGTGAGCGTTCATTAACAAGTGATTCATCAACAAACGCACAACGACTGGACTGATATTTTCGAGCTTCGTTTGCTATCCGCTTATTGACTTGATGAATGCCACTTCCAAGGGGCTGCACAACTGAACTGCACAGCCACTCCTTTAAAGGGTCATTTTTGAAGAAATTAACCACCTGCAGCAATCACTCTTTGCTCTATGCTTCAGCCAATCAAGAGAATAAAGGCTTCTATGCGAAAATAATAAAATTCCTGCTTCTTAAGAGGCAACTAGACGTTGACAGGAGACTTTGGCAGCAGTTGTTCATGTTCTTTCCAAATCTTTTACCAATCCCTCTCCCACAAATAAGGTTGCATGCGCTGAAGTCATTGATCCACAAATGAAGTCAGACCGGTTGGTTGATACCAACTTAAAACGGATATTTTTTAGTGAATCCCCATCAGCTCGTTTTTAGTCTGGTAGGTCGGGTATTTATCTGCACTGAAAGGGGCATGAATTCATCTGGTTAGCGAACCAGAGTAAAGTCTTTGTCTTCTGACGTTCGAGATCGCTATTGGTCAACCAGGTTGTTCTTCAGATTCGGAAACTTGGTCGAAAATGAAGACCTTCACTACGTACCAGTGATCCGGGCATTTGCATCACACACCCGTGAACGCTTGCCCATAAGGCTACTTTTGGAACTGCTCGAAAGGAAGAATGAACGCGCTGTCCACCACTTAACCTCGACGAAACTATATTTCTCAAATTCATGGCTGTAAATGAGGACTAGGAAAGCCTTAGGGTCCTATTGCAGATTACGCAGGCGACGCTTGAATAGGGGGGAGGGTTAGCATCCTAGTTGAACATATAGGAACCGCCGGCAATGCCATAGTGTCAGATTCAGTCCAGACCGATGCATCTGTAAAGTCGTAATGGTCAGCACGTAATTGACCTTTACGGGAAAATTATGTTGAATGGGTCATTTGTCGCATACTGTTTTCACCTGCTGTCCAGTCCTGTTACTTTGAGTTAAGTAACAGTATCACTGTGTTAATGAAGTAACTCTTTCAGTCTCCTTTTTCTTTTCAACAGTGTGAAATAGGCAAAAATTTACCTGCCTGCCTTTTGCCCGTATTCGATATTTTTAGCCCTTTTGAACTGTGTTGTATCCAAAAGCCTGTCTGACAGTTCCATTTAAATAGAATACACCGGAAAAATGTTTGGGCGATTATTATTTTTAATTTTTTTCCCTATACTACTTACACTTTTTCTCTCTATCTACGAGACAACTACTAAGAATTATATTGAATTACTGAAAATCGGCAACAGTAGCTTATGTAGCCCCACTCATTAATCCCTACAACCTGCATGATTTCCTACGAAAACGGTGTTTATCGGGTTTATGGGTGGGAAATTAGGACACGCAGTGGACTTTACTTTAATAAATGCTAAATGCATTTTTATTTTACTGTATTTAGAAGTGT